GCACTCTAATGATATATACATTATATATATATATATATATATATATATCTATAAAAATTTAAATATAAAATAAAACTTATAATATATTGATACTTTCAATTAATTATTTAACAACATCTACATGTTACATGTCTAAATTTTTGAAAAATCCACACCAAAATTCATTGAGAGCAAACTTCACAATTTCTTTTGTTCATCAAGGGTTAGTGCGAAAATATTAATCTTTCCATCTACATCTCTCATGTAAACTCATGATTTATTGATAGTATTTTGTTAGTTTTCTTTGATTCTCTCATGTGAGTGAAAGATTAAGTTATAGTATATAGAATTTGGATATTTTCAATTTGTTTTAGTCTAGTGAAAATGCACTCCATATATATACAATATAACTTTCTTGTCTTTCCCAAATTCAATTTTTTATTGGAAGTAACAATAATTGTAGTACTTATTTATTTGGCCGGTATATAGTACGTAGTATAACTTATCAATATACTTGAATAGAGGACTGCTCAGGTCCCTTCGGAGGGACGGGAGGGACCGTCCGAACTTTACTGTTTGGGGCGGTTCCCGGTGGAATTTTTTGATGAAATTTTTTGAGCATTTTCCTCATCAAGTCTAGTTTGTCCATACCAAATTTCAGCTCAAAATTCGACCGGGAAGGCAGTCAAATAAATTCTTGAAACTTACTGCACTTTATATATGCGTAGAATGTGCAGTAAGCTTCAAGAATTTATTTGACTGCCTTCCCGGTCGAATTTTGAGCTGAAATTTGGTATTGACAAACTAGACTTGATGAGGAACATGCTCAAAAAATTTCATCAAAAAATTCCACCGGGAACCGCCCCAAACAGTAAAGTTCGGACGGTCCCTCCCGTCCCTCCGGAGGGACCTGATCTTTTCTGTACTTGAATACTCGTATAATCTATCTAACCGTCTCATTTATTAATTTCTTTGATGTGTTATATTCGTATTTATATGACAAAATTTCTTAATGTTAATTATAGTTTTTACAAGAAAAATAAACTTTCACACGTTCTCTAAGACCTACTCTATTTGTACTATTTCGGGCTCATAAAATGTCAAGATCGGGCCTTGGTGATCGTTTGTAAGTTTACATGTAGGGTTGATAGTGTTGGTTGATAATAAATAGTTATTGTCAGTGTTGGACTCTTTAAATTCGTTGTAATGATTCAAATCTCTATGATATTAATACAAACGATTTTTCTTTCAAAAAAATGTTAATGATATCATTTCAAATAATAAAAATGAGAAATTGTAGGTGTCAAGAACTTATTATCCTCATGGACCTCAGTTCCTCACCAACAACAGGATAGCATTGCCATATACTGCAGAACAATCATTCCTCTCCTGTGAGATTAGATAGAATAAACATATCAACCAAAAATGGCGATTTCTTCTTCTTGCTTCTCCACTGTGTATGCTCTTTCGAAACATTCATTTCCTTCTTTTTCACTCCATTTTAGTCTTTGCTCTGTAAGAAGAAGGGGTGCTCCCCGCAGATACAAAGTTTCTGCAAATTTAGGTTTGTAACTCGATCGCTAACTCTAATTACAAACCATGTTCGTACTTAATTTAGTTAGCATATATTGTTTAAAAAAAAATAGTTAGCATATTTTGGTTAATATATCATGCTCCTTAATTCAAATCCTACTAAAATTTGGCAATTTTTTTTTCATTTGACTGTAATTCATTAGGGGGAGGAGAAGGTGGATTCAATAAGGGAGGGAAAAAGAAGTTCATCACTAGAGAAGAGGAACCTGATCAGTAAGTTGCCACCAACCACTCAAATCTTATCTTCTTTTTGCCAACACATCTAATTTGATTCCTGCCCAATTTGATAAAAAAACATTATGGAATAAAAATCTATAAAAAAAAATTAAGTCAAAATCCTATTAGGATGTGTTCTTTTGGACTGTTTTCAGTCTCAGACCAGACTAGAACTCCGTAGTTATAAAATAGACCAGATATACTTGCCAGATCAGTTTAGACCAGACCAACAAATTTCTGTCCAAAAGAAAACATCCTTAGTGGTTACCGGTTACTCATTCCCTGTATTTCTTCGTTTTTTCAAGATAGTAAATAGTCATTTTCGGTCACTAGTCACATTTTTTAAACAATTTTTATTTCTGTCATAAAATATGTAATTATTTCTTTCCTTAAAAAGTCTTTGACTTTGTACCTACTTTGAATTTTTTTTCCCTTCAATTTCAACAAGTGAGGTGCAAAGTCAAAATTCCCCTAAAAGAAAACTCAAATTATACTCCGTAACTATTAAACCCCAATTTTAAAGTAAGTCATTATACTTACATATGAGTAAAGAGGTTTTTTCACTTTTGATCCTCCGACTACTATGTCACTTTGTGTTGTGCGCAAGACACCTTTGGTATTCTTCTTTGAAAATTTTCATATTTATTCATTCGATTTTTATAAAAGTGACACTTTTGATTCTTCAACTATTATAATAGTGACATTTTTAGTCCTCTATTTATTGTATTAAAATCAAACCAGAAGAATTAAAAATGTGAATTTGATAATACTCACGAGACTAAATATGGAAACCTTGAAAGTCAAGCGCTAAACATGGTATGTCACCAACCTTTTTTTTATGTTATTATCACTTTAGTATGTTATTGACACCGTCCAACATACCAAAACAATTATCCACAATTTCTCCAGATGCCTTTTTATGGCGAACTTTCCAAGAAATAGGATTAGATAGAAGAAAATAGGGAAAAGGGGCAAATAAGCCCCCGAACTTACCGAAAAAGTGCAAATAAGCCCTTTTATAGGAAGCTCTGTCTGGCCGTCGCCATTTGAGGCGGTTCCCAATGGAATATTTTGATGAATTTTTTTTAGCATCTTCTTCATTAAGTCTAGTTTACTCATACCAAATTTCAGCTAAAAGTTCAACTGGAAAGGCAGTCAAATAAATGTTTGAAGATAACTGAGCAGTTAAACAACGCAGTATAAATCGGAAAATCATTTGGCTCACTTCGAGGTTAAATATTTAGCTAAAATTTGATATGAGAAAACTAGACTTAGTGAAGAAGATGTTCAAAAAAATTCATAAAAAAACTCTACCTGGAACCACCCCAAATGGCGACGACCGGACAGAGCTTCCTATAAAAGGGCTTATTTGCACTTTTTCGGTTAGTTCGAGCGCTTATTTGCACCTTTTCCCAAGAAAATATGAATTATTTAAACTTTTGGAGGTTAGTCACATTTAAAGATCGAAGCTGGCAATTCGAAAAACTTGTTTTAGTCCTGCAAATTTTTACAACTCCAAGCTGAGTTTCTTACTAACTTTTGTCCAGAACCCTAACATTAGAATGATTTGAACATAACAATTATAAGGTATTGGCAAACGGCAGGGGAAAGAGAAGGAGAGAATCCGATGAAGACGCCTCTGCCTTATATCGTCCTCTTCGGAATGGCAACACCATTTGTGATCTTGGCCATTGCTTTTGCAAATGGTTGGATTAAAGTTCCTATTCGTTGATACATTCATCTATTTCATAATCCCCAAAACTCGTGAAGTCAAGATTCAATGTTAGCTTAAAGAAGCTACTAGGTGTAACTATTTCACTTTTTACAACTTATTCTCAGTCTTTTCTTCATTCATCCCGCTTAATTCATCTCATATTATATTATTATATCACGTTATTCACATACTATCTCCGTCCCATTAACATTGGAATATGAGAAGGATAAAGTAAGAATGATTTAGAATCACTCAAAATTTATTAAATTTGTTGTGAGGTGATTTTTGGAACAAATTGAAAAGAAAATATGAGGCAATCTTAGTAGGATGAAAGGAGTAATATTTTATAGAATATTTTGATTGATCTATGTGAACAAAGGTACAAACTACAAAAAAATCTGAGCATCACTTGTAGTGTCATTTTGGTTCGAAGGCGTTGACTAGAATATCAATAAATTTGAAAAAAAAAAATGTAATGTAGAGGTGTAGATTTTAGTGTAATAATTAATTGGAATTTGAGTAAGTACTATTTCTTGATTTAATTTTAGCTTCAAGTACTAGTTCTTATGGTATAGGGATACATATGTAAAATTGTTATCACAAAGAGTATTGTTTTTCAAGGTTTTAATTGTTAGTAATTTTGAATACTCAAAATCTATATACTCCCTCCGTAATTTAAAAGTTCTCCAGATTAGGGGTTGACACAATATTTAATGGGGAAATAGTAAGAGTAATGAATAGTGTAGGAAAAGTAGAAGAGAATATATGTGGAAAAGTATGAAAGAGAAGATAAAAAGTAGAAAAAAATAAGGGTAATTGAATATTTTTAAAAGAAAAGCTTGCCAAAAAAGGAAGTATAGCAAACTTTTAAATACATCCCAAAAAGGGAAGTGTAGAGAACTTTTAAAAAAAGGAAGTGTAGAGAACTTTTAAAAATCGGGGGAGTATTAGATTCGACACTATGACGAGGCCAGCTAGCTTAGTAGCTTAGGCGAGCTCTTGTGTGTGACTATTTTAATTTTGAAATAATTAAAAATATATAACTAATATATATAAAACTAATTGAAAAAAAAACATGATACTAGTAACTTTAGTGACTGTTTAAGCAATTTAATATCTAATCTAAACAATCAATTGATATCAAGGGATCCTGCAAGCTAACATTCAAAACTAACGATTTGCAAGATATAAGAATGTATGATTAATACGACCTTACTTGAACGGGATCTGTTCTATAGGATCATACCTCTGAAAGAATGTATGATTAATATTCGATTTTGGATTACAAAGAGTAAGAAGTACTCTGATCAAGAGTGATTGTGTGTATATGTTTACATTGGCTAATCTATTTAAACTAAACAGAAAATATCTTGTCCAGTCGGAGGGACAGGATCCTCCGTCCGGCCACCGCCGTTTGGGACGGTTCGCGATGGGGTTTTTTGATGAAATTTTTAGGGATGTTTCTCATCAAGTCTAGTTTATCCACACAAAAAAATAGCTAAAAAATCGATCGGGAAGGCTGTCGAATACATTTTTGAAAATAACTATGTTTTATATGTTTAATTTGGCGCAGTTATCTTCAAAAAAAAAATTTACTGTCTTTCCGATCAAATATTTTAGCTGATTTTTTGTGTGGATAAACTAGACTTGATGAGGAACATTCACTAAGAAAATCATCAAAAAAATTCACTGGGAACCGCCCCAAACAGTGGTGGCCGGACGGAGGATCCTGTCCCTCCGGCTGGACAAGATCATTCCTCTTAAACTATAATTCTCTCCCTCAATCCTTGGCCCAACTGACCGGCGAAATAGCTTCCTTTCCTATTTTTACTTGAAGACGGGACCAGAACTTGAGACATCTCGTTCTTCATAGAAAGCGCGTCTTTGAGACAGCAAAAGTCGGAAATGATGTAGAAAGCGCCTCCTACCTTCTCAATTCGTCGAGCGTCTGATCTTCTCCAACAAAGATACTCTCTCAGCGGCAGCCAGACTGGCAGCCAGATTGGCAGCCAGACTAGCTTGGATACTCTGCCGACATCAGGAAACACGATTAGCAAATATGCATTTTCAGATAGTGACAATACATTAAAATGGAAGAGTTGTACTTGAAAGGCATATGCGGAAGAAAGCATACATGCATAATAATTTGATTATATATATTAGTAGAAAATCATGATCAAAGTAAGATGTATGAATAGTACAAGAATCCCAATGTTCCAACTATTAAAGAACAAAGGAAGTATTAATTTATGATACTTTTATACACCGGAAATGATTTCTTGTATTATAAATATGGTTATTACATTAATAAGATATAATATCAAATGAGAAAAACTCAAGTAAAATAATGGTCCACACGGTCTAGTCTGGTCAAACTCGAATTATCTAGTCCGATCCGGCCTTGGACCGGAGTAGTTCCGATCCGATCTTGTGTCCAATAACTTTGATGATTCCGGTTGTAGTCCGGTCTGATCTTAGACCGGTGCGAACGAACCGGGCTCATATCACCCCTAGCCACCGATAGGGATGAGTTCATTTTGGTTCGATTTGGTTTTGACTAAAACCAAATACGAAATCAAATTAGAAAGTTCGGTTCAGTTTCGGTTCGGTTTTTCATTTTACATTTCAAAACATGAAATTACAGTTTGATTGGTTCGATTTATTTTGATTCGATTTCAGCCTTTTCAGTTTTTTACTAAAAACTTGAAGTTACATAAAAACAAAAGTTGCTAGTATGGTTCAGTAAAAATCTATCACATTCATGCAACTAATTGCAAAATATATACATAAAAGATATAATAGATCTATACAGATACGCTATTACAAGCAATAAACGTGTGAGTGCATTTATAAACTAAACGGAACATAATACAAAAACTAAATTTCTAGCACAAGAAAACCAAATACTATAGATGATTTAGAATTAATGCCTAAAGATTAACAAATAAAATTTCATATTTTGATTAGTTGAGTTTATTAAGTTTGGTTCTGTTTTGATGGGTAAAACCCAAAACCAAACCAAACAACTACGGTTCGATTCGGTTTTTACATCTGGTTTTGGTGTTTAGGAGTTGGGTTTAATTTGATCATGGTTTGTTTTATTTTGATTCGATTTTTTGTTTTCAATTTTTTGGACCCAACCCCAACAATCAATGTCACAATATGAGAAATCACTAACACAATTGCAATTATAGTGATAAAAAAATTACTAATTAGGCAAGCTGGCGACTTGCAAGTTTCCAAGTTGGGCGATTGGCGATGAGGGCATGCGGCGTTTGAGCTGCATTTCAAGCTAACATGGTCATTGGGTCAAGGGGTGCTCGCTGCTCCTTGTTTTGTTTGGGAAGGGAAATTCTATTCACAGCCATAATTTTACTAAATACAGCCACATTTTTTTCCAAATCCTATTATGTCCTTCCTATCAACTACACGTATGCGCCTAATACGAAGTATTCCCACAAACATTGTCTGCAAATCCTCCTTTGAAGATCAACACACATCAAGTACGTAGCTCTCTCTTCCCCCTCTGTCTAGTCCAAGGCTTGCCAACACCACCCATGGGCAGCGTAGCATGAGGTGGCGGCAGGCCGGCAGCTAATTCCAAAGTAGCGTCGACCCAAGATGTCGGCAGCCGGTAACCTTATGCCTCAAAACCCACCTCCCGGAGCCGCCCCAGTCGTACTCCACCAGAACACACACCTCACAATTCTCCCTGTCATGTCTGGCCATTGTCATCCATCGGGGGATGGCCTATCAGCACCACCTCTCCCCTGCCTCCGTCGTAGGATAAAAGGCCGTCCTGATCCACATTATAGTACAATACCCGATCAATCACAAATGAGCAAGGCGACCTTGATCATAGCTGGCATGGATCCCGGAGGTTAGAAATTGTACGGCGGTGGTGGCGGTGTGGCGACAGCTGGCTGGCGCCGTTCTTTATTCCTTGCGAAGAAGAGTCTGCAATTCCAGGCGGCGGACAAGGTGTTCGGGGTGAGCAACGTGACAAAGATGGTGAAGAACATGAGCGAGCCGGAGCGGTAACTAGCGGTGGAGTCGCTGGTGTGGGAGGCCGTTTTCCGGCAGAATGATCGGGTGTTAGGTGCCTTGGGATTTAGAAAGGAAACTTCCGTTTGTCAAAACAAGAAACTAAATCCTGCAAAGTTTTTGGATGAACAGGAACATCGGCACAATAGTTGGTAGGATAAAGGGCATAATTGGACGTCCAAGAAATATGTGGCTGCATTTAGTAAAATGGGAGCTGTGAATAGAATTACCCGTTTTGTTTGCCTCGTTGGGCTTTTGAGCATTGGCCTGATCAACCTTGGGCTTTTGGGCATTTCAAGTTGTTTGCCTTCTTATTTCAGATCTAGTCCACTTGAGCTCTTTTTCCAAACAAGACTACTTTTAAAATAATTGACTAAAATGAAAATATATTAGCTTATTTAGGATGTTTTCTTTTGGACCGTTTTCAATCACAGACCAGACCAGACAAGATCATATCAGACCAGATCAGACTTAAACAGATCAAATCAGAACAGATCAAACCAAATTTAAACAGACCACACCAGACTTGGACAGTTATACAATACACAGAGATCAGACATTTATCAAATCAAACCAGATCAGTTCAGATCAAACCAGACCAAACTTAAACAAACCAGACCAGGTCAGTTCAGACCAGATTAGATCAGGCTAGTTCAGAGCAGATTAGACCAAGGCAACAAATTACGGTCCAAACAAAACATCCTAAGATCAGAGTAGATTGGATTTAATTGGATTTAAACACATCATACTACCCCATATGAGATCAGACCTAAATATATCAATACCAAAACAAACTTAGATACAAGTAAAAATAAATATAATACTAGATCAAACCAGTCTTGGCCGTAAATAGACAAGACTAGACTAGATCATAGTAGACCGGATATATCATACCAAATCAAACTTATATAAACATAAAATAGTAAAATACAGATAATACTAGACCAGACCTTCAACAAAGTATCATACCATAATACCTGAGCAACTTACACGGTTCAAGTAAATCCATTGGGTGAAAACATAACCAAACTTGTAATGGTTTGCCAACAAAGATTCGGCAAAAGCCACCTCTAACATTATACTCGGGTGAAATATTAAATTGAATGGTGTAAGAAGCATAAACGAGAAAAAAATTGATGTAAATAGATTTTGTAAGTACACACAAATAATGAAATAAGTAACAAAAACGGCAACTTATGACATATAAATAGGAGCATATAAATGTGATTATGTGACAGCTGGGGCATTAATTAATAATAAAAGTAAAGCAAAGCTTTGCAAGAATTTCTAATTAAAAGCCACTCCATACCATCAAAAGATAATTCTGTGTTGCTTTATGATTATAGAATAATTTTAGAGATATTATCCAAAATGGGACTAAAAAAGTTTGGAAATTCCAAAATAGGACTTCCATGTTTTTATTCCCAAAATATGACTAATTACTGTCATGTTTTGACAGTACCGGACTTCAAACATGGCAGTATTTTCCAAATTTGGCAGTAATTAGTTCTATTTTGGAAATAAAAACATGACAGTCCTATTTTGGAATTTTCAAACTTTTTTAGTCCCATTTCGGGAACTTTCCCATAATTTTACCGTCATAAGTTATGATCCGATTTCATGTAAATTCCTACAAACATAAATGTAACAAAAAAATGACACCTCATCTCTCAGAGCCTCACAATCAATACGATATTTACCTAAGATGATACAAATTGAGGTTTGATTACATACTAGTGGAAAGAGGGTGGTGTTCCAATCAAGTCCTTGCTTAGAGTCGAACCCGAGAGCTTCCCCTATGATACTCTCTTTCTATAAGGCGAGCTACATCTCCAAAGAAACATAAATGTACTCAAATATTGTGCTCTTTCAATGCCTATAATGTATGGATCAGGATCCTTTGCCATAGCCCATATGGTATTGTGCCTTGTGGCATCCGACGGCAGGGAAGCTACGAGGACGACCTCGAGATCGATGAAGGGATGGAACACAAGATCTTCGGCCGTCAAATTTCCAATCCAGCGGTTCGGAATAACCAGACACCCTGTCTTTCTTTAAAGTAAGACAAATGTTTTAGATCCCTAACGTATAGACGTGCTAATTTTAGTTGGCTTTCATAGAATCTGATTAAGTAAACTTTTCTTCCGGTGGATCTGCCAGTGCATTGAATTTACTATTGAAAGGTAATTTCAATTTTTTTCAAGTCACTATATTGGATTTATCTACCGATTTGTACTTTTGTTAGTCAATTCAAGTTGAGCCTAACTGCTAGCTTCCAACAAATTTTGAAAGTAAAATCTCATTCAATTCAAACTTTGAAACGAGGTACGGAGTATAAAATTGCTCTTTCCACAATAAGTAATATGAAATAATTGCGTGTGAATGTGTGATACTACTAATTCATACTACGTATTAGTTACCATTAGCATTTAGAAATTAAAATCATGAATTGGCGTCAAGTTACGAATATACTCCTGACTACCCACACCGACATGGCCTTTATTCTCAATTTCTTTTATTTCTATTTCACGTTTTAGGGTTCTTGTTTTACTAGATAATGTTTGGATTTAAATGAAAACGTCAAAGATAGTCATTCTTTGATTTTATCCTACATACTTATAATAGCGAATGATAGTAAACCCATTTTAGGAATTAGAAATTTGTTCGTGTAACATGTGGCTATCAAAACTTGTACATTATGCATCAACACTTATTGAGTAGAAAAATACACTCGTAATAAACATTTTTTTTAATATCAGTCATTTTAACATAGAACATATTCTATAATAGATTAGAAAGTACAATAAAAAGATATCGATGAGGGGGTCTTGCTCCCAATGATTCTTCCTACTTTCACGGAGTTGCTTAGCGACTAAAAAGGAAGAGGATATAAATTTGGGCTCGAATTCGCGTGGTGGGAGGATCCTATGGATTCAGTTGAAAGGAAGCCATGTATGATAGGAGGATCCTTCTGGATTCAGTTGAAAGAAAGTCATGATGGATTCGTCGTATAGAATCAGTACCGACGAAGGTTGACTGTGATCAAATCCGAATTTTGACTGTCTAGGGACTTTGGAGGGTAATCAATAGACTTCATTATTACGGGAGCACAAGCACCGACACCTGAATCATCAACAAAAAAAAGTTAAGTTTTACGAGGTACAATTTTATGGGATCATGTCAGTCCACCACTCATCACCGAGAGAGAAATATAATAAACATTTTTTTAATATAAATCATTTTAACATAGAACATATATAATAGATTAGAAAGTACAATAAAAAGAGTTTGATCTTATAAAATAAAGAGAAAATATCATAAATAGGAATAAAATATCGTCAAAGTTCTTAAACAACCCATAAACAAGACTCCATGTTAATTACATTTTTATTCTTAATATAAATAAACAAGACTCCATGTTATTATATTCCATAAACAAGACTCATGTTACATTTTTACTCTTGATATAAATAATCCCCATACCCTAGCTTATAAATGAAAAACTACATTAAGAAACGCTTTTTATAAGTTTAAACCACAAACGTATTCTTTAATCTCCATTCTTCACGTAGACACGTAGTATAGTTGCACATGGTCTCGATCAAGTACACCTTTTCTTTTTTACTATTACTCAACTACGAATTGTGGTTAATGGTATCTTTATGGGTTTGAAATTTTACAGTTGTCGTTGTTCTTCTAGCATGCTATGTACGTAATAACGTAAAGCACATTAGAGCAGATATGGGAATCAAAACACATGAAAACAAGTACGTAACTTGAATTGGGTTGTGCGCATTTGTGCAAATTTTGAAGTTCTAATGATTTCCACAAACAAAAGTGTACTCTATTTTTAGTTATTCCTTTGTCTGAATTGCCAATTATTATTTTATCGTTTTATTAATCAAATCCATGCATATATGACTTCCCTTAGGATCTTTTTATTTCTTGCTAACACTAGGTGATCCGCACTTCGTCAAACTAATTCTGGTCTCCCAAAATTCTCCCCAAACTCTTGAGAGAAGTAAATCTGAATCGTTTAGTTAAGATTCCAACACCATATTAATCTATACACTACTGCGCACAAGAAACCACTTTTACTTGGTGAACCGGTCACTGATTGACCAAGACCCATCATGTTCCGAACAAGAGATTAAGAGCCCGTTTGGTAGCACCAAAATCGGCTGTTTTGGCTGATTCTGCTGAAATTTATGATATTCTGGCTGGAGTGGCTGTTTTGGCTGATTCTGCTGATTTAAGAAAAAAATATTTTAAAAATATATTTTATTAATAAATTAAAGAAAAAATTATATGTAAAAATAGCTAAAATGGTCCTCTACAGTAACTTCAGCCAATACAGCCAGAAAAGTAACTTCAACCTTACTTTTTCGGCTTATTACACAATTCAGCGCGCGAAAGTAAAAGTTACGTGTTTGGTGAAAAAGCTGGCTGATAAGCCTGATAAGCCGAAAACAGAGTTCTCCAAACGGACTCTAACTCTCACACGATAACTTATGCTAATAGATAAAGTATTCATTGTGCAACCTCTTCAATATAGCCAGAGTCTAGAAGATTGTTATATGAGAATGTGTTCTCATAATTTGACTTAATTTGACATAAGATAAGAATATATTTGGAAAGTAAAAAACAAAATATTGACTATAAAAGAGACAAGTCACAAGAGAGTGTATCACGAATTTGGCAGATCCAATCATTAATTAAAACAGTCATGCTTACACATTTTTTGTACACATCTTATAAACACGCGTGTGAACAAATTTGATCTCATTCTAAAGATGAGCTCATCAACAAGATCAACTCATCAACGGGATCAGCCCATTAATCGGGAAAAATAATAAACGTTAGTCGTTGGGCCTAATTAAGAATCCAACCCGCGAAAGGAACCCACAACTAGCTAGGCCGGACTTAACAGCAGACCTCGAGCCCAAGCGGAGTTCTAGCAAGGTCGAACTCTTTCTAGGGCTTATGTGAAAGACTATCATTCGTGCATTGCTATCTGGCAGTGACAGAAAATCACGGAAGGAACGTGGACCTGAATGAAGCAATCATTGCACAATGTTCGAGACGTTACATGACTCTATTCTAATTAATTGCATTAAATGTATCAGTTTTCTCCTAGAATACTAGAACCTAAGGTTTATAAATATTTCATGTATATATCATAGTAATGATCCGAATTCCAGAATAATAATATTGTTTTACGCTGCCTAAATTTCATATTTTTTTATGTATGAATATAATGTCTACGGACAAAAATTGCAAACATTTTTCAATTTTCTTACTTCGGATTTTGTGTGGGCATCTCACCTAGGTGGCATTGTTTTCCGAACGTTATGGGAAAGACCGGAGAAGTGTGAGAGTTGAAATTAAATGATTTGTAACTTTTAATTGACTCGTAGTCGGTTGGTTAATGGTACATAATTGCTCTTGTTTTTAGTATAAGACCACGAAATCTTAGCTGGCTCTCTACTCACCCCATCACTCTCTCAGATTGCCACCCAAACATGAGGCTTCTGTCGGCACCGTTCTCACTATTCATCACCGCCGTCTTCCTCCTCTCCTCCGCCGCCAATGCCTTCAACATCACTCAAATCCTCGCCAAACACCCCGATTTCTCCACCTTCAACCACTACCTCACCGTGACCCACCTCGCCGGCGAGATCAACCGCCGCATGACCATCACCGTCTGCGCCGTCGACAACGCCGGCATGAGCTCTCTCCTCGACAAGCACTTCTCTCTCCCCACCATCAAGAACATCCTCTCCCTCCACGTCTTCGCCGACTACTTCGGCCCCAAGCAGCTCCACCAGCTCAACAAGGGGACCACTCTCACCTCCACCATCTACCAGTCCACCGGCGACGCCCCCGGCACCGCCGGATTCGTCAACATCACCACCCTGAAGGGCGGCAAGGTGGGATTCGCGCAGGAGGACAACGGCGGGCATTTCACCTCCACCTACGTCAAATCCATCGCCGATGACCCGTACAAGATCTCCGTCCTCCAGATCTCCAACCCGATTATCTCCGACGCGGCGGAGGCCCCCGCCGTCGGACCTTCCGAAGTGAATGTAACGAACATACTGGGGAAACAGGGGTGTAAGGCGTTCCTGGATCTGTTGAAAAGCGCCGGAGTAGATGAATCTTTCTCTTCAAGTGCTCCGGCCGGGTTAACGGTGTTCTGCCCGGAGGACAAAGCCGTCCAAGCTTTCATGCCCAAATACAGGAATCTGACGAAAGAGCATAAGCAATGGCTTCTCTATTACCATGGCGTCCCGATCTACCACTCTCTGGAGATGCTGAAATCCAGCAATGGGGTCATGAACACTCTGGCCACTGAAGGGTCCAATAAGTACGATTTCACCGTCAAGAACGACGGCGACACCGTGAAGCTGAACACCGATGTGGTGGTTGCGACGGTCACCGGGACCATGTACGACGAGGAGCCGTTGGCCGTGTTCAAATTGGACAAAGTTCTGCAGCCGAGGAAGCTTTTCAAGGCGGTTGAGGAAGCTTCGGCGCCCAAGGCGGCGACGAAGAAGAAGAAGAGCGCCGGAGGAAGCAAACCCGGCGCCGGTGGGGACGGGGCGGACTCGCCGGGGCCGAGCTCGGACGACGATGACGCGGCGGATGATACGGCCAGTGACAAGAATGGGGGCTCTGTAATTGTCGGCGGTTGGATCCTGAGGGTAATATTGGGAATGTGTTTGGGTTATTTTGTGATCAGTTCTTGAGGGACAGCTGTGTGTATGTCAGTGTGTTTTTATTTATTTATTAATTAATTGCTACTATCTTCAATTATAAAGATGTGGAGAGTTGTCATCTGCATCATATTGCTAAGCCTTACATTTGCATATAGAAAATTGTTGGTATTATTTTGGGTCCTAGAAAAGTATGAAAAAAATGTTTTTGGTGTGGTGTTTTGCATAGGTTTTTGCTTCAGCAATTATGATTTATTCCTTCTTTATTATGTATTAAATACTACGTACTAGTATTAATTTGTACTCTATTCTCAATTTGACAAAAGTAATCAACATAGCTAATATTGGATCCAGTTATTTTTAAAGGTAAATTCTACGGTACCCATAAGGTACCGTACCTTTGTCTACATGTACCAATGAGAATGTTGCAGTTGAATTATTTAAATTCAAATTAAAAATGATAAAGTGATGTGGTCCAATCAAATGAATAATAGGTACGGTACCTCATTATTTCAAAAGGTATTAAAGTTGTCACCATTTTTAAATTGTAACCGTTAATACAAATAATTACATATTAATAAAACATTATAAAGATTTAAGAGATGAAAAATACACATCAATAAAAATCTAGCGATATTTTATACATAATAATTTGTTTATTTATATTAGTAGAAAATCATTAACAAAGTAAGATGCATGAATAAGGTTAAATTTAAACTATTAAGAAATATGTTAACTTCCTAATAGGAGTGAAATATGTTACGTAGTACTCCTTCCGTCCCTAAATTATCTTAAAACTTTCCTTTTTGGTCCGTCCCTAAATTATCTCCTCTTTCCCTTTTTGGCAAAGGATTTGTGGTTCACAATAATTCTTACACATTTCTCTCTTCTCTGCACAACTCTCCACCACACAAAACTCACTATCTTAATCCCCGTGCCGGGTCAAAATGGGAGGTAAATTAGGGACGGAGGGAGTACAACTTAGAGTCTTAGAGGCCGTTTGGTAACATTATTTTTCGGCTTTTCAGTCAACTTTTCACCAAACACGTAACTTTTGCTTTCGCGCGCTGAATTGTGTAATAAGCATAAAAAGTAAGGATGAAATTACTTTTCTGACTGTATTGGATGAAGTTACTGTGGATGACTATTTTAGCTATATATACATATAATTTTATTTTTATTTTTTTAATAAATTATATTTTAAAAATATTTTTTTCTTAAATCAGCAGAATCAGCCAATGCAGCCACTTCAGCCAGAATTTCATAATTTTCAATAGAATCGGCCAAATCAGCCAATTTCCATGCTACTAAATAGGCTCTTAGAGTATAACTTAGAGTATGTCCGGTAAAATAGTGGTTTGTAGTGATGTAAACTATATCCTACTAGTATGTGACATAAGAAAGATAAAGATAAAAGACTGTGTTAATTTAATATTCCATCCGTCTCATTGGACTTTGTCAACTTTCTCTTTTTGGTTGTCCCAAAAAACGTTGTCACTTTTCTATTAGAACAAATGATTTGTGGTTCTGCACATTTCTCTCTCCTCTGCACAAAGCTCAACCACACAGTTTTTACTTTTCTTATTTCTCACCTACTTTGCACTTGACAAAGTTCACCGGGACGGAGGTAGTAAAAGATTGTGTTAATTTAATACGGAGTATGAAGAAGGTGGGGTGTGAGTAGCAATAATTAACTATAAGATGAGACTCACTGAAAAATGTTTAGTGTAAAACAGATCAAACAGATCCGGTCTCTGCCTTGCTTTAAAGCAAGGCATGATGTCCGGACTTTGAAAGTCGTCCAATCAAAACCAGGGTTGGACTCGGGCCGGGCGGCCCGATCCGGAACCGGCCCGGCCACTGTTTGAACCGGCCCGGCCCATGGGCGGTTCGGGTCGACCCGGCCCGGTGGCTACCGGTTCCGGGCTCGGGCCTTCATTTTGGTGAACCGGCCCGGCCGGTTCGGGCCCGGTCCGGGCTGGATTTAGTTTTTTTTTTTTTTTTGCATTTTTTTAAAGTTTTTGGGTTGGATTGGGTATTTTGGGCCATTTGAGGTGGTTTGGGGTTGAGGGGGAGGGTAGGGGGTTGATTAGGAAAACAAATATATATATATATATATATATATATATAGAACCGAACCGGGCCCGGCCCGGCCCGAACCGGACCTGGGGTTACCCGGGCCGGTTCCGGGCCTCCCCTACCTTGAACCGAGGCCCGGCCGGTTCAAGGCCCGAACCAGGCCCGGCCTGGAACCGGTCCACCCCTAATCAAAACTTCAACGACTGTAGATCTCGAGGTCCGCATCTCGAAGCGCTATTATCCCAATCGAACATTTCCCCTGTCGCAATGCACTCTGTCGCATGGCAGAGAATCTTTGTCCGAGTAAAATGTGTTTGAGACTTTCATATTTGATGAGACTTGAAAATGCAGAAGCAAAGTGAATTACTTAGTGAAAAAATTAATTTCTTGAATAAGGTAATTATCATTAATGACTTTAAAAAATATGCCAGAAAGCACATGTATAAATCTTCGAATTTAGCAAGTTGGCTCTATTGAATCCGCCACTTCCAAAGTTGTCATTAAGCAGGACGTATGAATGATGTTGAAAAAATGTTTTTACAAGTTAAAATTATAATCATTTTGGAGCTAAAATATGTAAGAGACGCATGTCTCTTTTTTAATAGGAATAGGTCCTAACATATTGTACCATGTGAGATAAACGTTTACATATATTATTTGTAGAAAACCATTTTGCGTAGCAAGGGCTTTAAACCCTAGTTTGTGGAAGTTTTGGGATCGGCGATTCCAATCGCTCAATCATTTTCAGCGCAGCAAGGGGAAGAATCTATCCATATTCTTCAGGCTCGATCGTGGGGAAGGGCGACGCTCATAAAGGGATCAACAAGGACTGCAGGAGAAAGTCAGCGGACTACTATGCCAATCAAAAGGAAGGTGGAAGGTTAAGGGATTGAGTGAAAGACTTTGCTTGAAGTGGCATGGAAAATTCCTGATTCAGATGTTGGAGGAAGGAGATGAAGGGTTGATGATCCGCTCCCCTCCTGAACCGCCGCCATGGAGGATGACGTCTGGAATACGGATTCAGTTGCTCCATAATTTTATTTTGTTTAATTTTGTTTTACTCTTTTTGAGTCGTTTAATTATGAACCATGTTGTTATTGTTATTTCGAACACTAAGGGGGGTAGGATTTTGGCTTGGTGTAGTTCATTAGATAGATTTCTGTTGGGAGGCAATCAGGCTGACTCAGCCGCTAATGGTCTCTTTGCTCTAACCGTTTCAGCGATTAGTCTCGCTCTATCCGGGGTGGACTATTCTATGTCTGATCATGATGTGAGGGGGCCGATGGGCTTTTAGTTTTGTTTGGAGAGAGGGAGAATTAGGTCTTGGGACATGCTTTTTTTTTTTGCAAAAAGAGGAAGATTTTATTCATATAAAGAAAAAGTACAAACGGAGGAAAAAGTAACAGAATAGAAAATACACGAAATTACCAAAATGGAAAAAATAAAATAAACTAAAAAGTTTTTAGGCCCATGGAAATTGTTTGGACTGAGACCTAGTCCTCATACTATGGCGCCTTTTGTTCTTCTGCGATTTCCTGTATATCTTGAGCTGAGTGTTCAAGTTGTCTATTGGAATGCAGTTATCTGAGGTAGTGAATTGAGATTTATAGCAAATCACACTATTGAATTTAGAGTTCCTAATATCTTCCTTTTTCCGAAATAGGTGGTCGACGGTCGCATTCGGTTGTGTGTCCTAGGAAATCGTCTGAGAAGTATGAGTCATCTGACGGGTCAAAACTATCGGAGGCGTCTGAGTATGCGTGTATAAGGGCTACCTCGGGTTGTTTCTCTATTAGAAGGAGGCTCTTGTTTCTCGGCATATGCTCTCTCGACTTCAAAATTAAATATTAGTTTGGAAATGGATGTGATTTCCTCGGTGTCTGCCGAAGTCTCGTGTTCCAATTGCATTGTTTCCTCCTGCTTCGGTTGATTCTAATATAAGCTATTTCCTTTATAAAAAAACATATTGTACTATGTGAGATAAATGTTTCCAATCTGAATTCTTCTAATCTAATTTGAATCTTCCTGGTTATCCATGGTTCAACAAATTTATCAATGGACGAGGTGTTAGTTGTTACAATAAAATAGATGCACCAATATTTATTGTTACTAATTTATTGAAATGTAAAAAATACTATAAAAGATTGGAAAGCTTGTAGAGGAATATGCACGGGGTAAGAATAAATAGATAGAAAGTGAGGAAGCATAAACTACTACATAGTAGCGGTGGACAAAAATACCGAAAATTTGGTATATCGCACTTATCATATCGAGAAATACCGAATAATCGAAATGTTTGGGATACCGACCTTTTAGTACGGTATGGTATCGTACTGAATTACTTTGATACGGTATCGATATACATATTTTGAATATAAATTGTATATCCATATACTCTCATACCGAAAGTCCAAGTAAATAATTTTCCTAAAATTAGAAAAATGACTAGAAACACAACATTAACTTAAAGATAAATGGCTTTATATTCATGTTTCTTGAATTATTTATACTTTATGATGGATATTGTTGTTAGTTTATTTATGATCCATGTTGCTTAAATTATTTTAGGAGAATGTGTTGTTATCTTCATATATCACGTGTTGAAGTATTAAAACATGTGTGTAATAATTGTCGTTGAAAAATGAATAGAACAATTATAAGTTATCGTTAGTACTTTGTAACAAATCTTATTAATAATTTTAGTATATCATTACTAATACCGGTTTTCTACATTTCATTTATTGGCATATAATTTGTTATACATACGGAGTATTAAAGATCAATTCAATCATGATATTTTATTGATAGCGTACCTTTACCGTACCAAAATTTCAACAATGTAATTATATTTAATTATTTATTCTTGCATATCGAAAGTTTACGGTACGATAATAATATATGATAAAATATCTGATGTGCCGCACCTAACCACCCCTTCTACGGAGTACTCCCTAATATTTTGAGGAATCCAAACATGCCATTTGAGAAAGAGAACATCGAGCATAAATGTGGAGTTAAGTTTTGTTCACTCCTCGATAGGGAGTTGCTATACTGTGGGGCATCCCACGGTGAGCATCCTGCTCCCGTTAATAAAAAGCTTCATTTAATATAATATTTTAACTTAAAAACGCGGATGAACAGTAACATTAATTTTTGTCTCAATATCTTTTATGAGATGTAAATCCTGTGTATTGAAATGTAACTCGTGTTGTTATGTTCTACATAAAAACAATACAAAAATTCACTGTTCATACTACAGTAAAATCATTGTTCATGCTACTGTATTGTTACTGTTCAATCTACAGTAATCCCGCCTAGAGTTATTACGCATCTCAACCATCAATCGAACAAACATCTTTCACCTTCCGTGTATCATCACCCGCCTGACCAGAATCCCAGATCAATCACCGTCGCTTTCATCTCCTTTTATTTTTTCGTCTTCCTCCATCGCTGATGTTTCTCCATTTCACCGCCCTCTTCATCCTCATCAATTTCAATCCAGATCAATCCATACTCCATCCCCTTTCCATCACATATAAACCGTATTTCGATTAGAATCACCCTTTCTAACAGTTCCACCTTCTTCTTCATCATCATCATCATCAATCCCCATCCCTATTTCCTACAAAAGTGCATCTCAAATTGTAAGTTGGCGTTGGGAACCAGGATGTCGACTTCTCCCGATTGTTTTGCAACTTCTCTCTTCTACACGGCTACACCTTGGCAGAATGAGAGTAGTGTCGCAGCAAGGAAGAGCAAGTTGTACTACTCATGGGCCAACTTTTCATTTCTCCATCGTCTAAATCCAGATCAACTTTTCATCAACAGCTCTTCCTCTTCGCTCATTGGGATTAATCCGAGTTTAGAAGCAACTCCTCTCTCCATTTGGGTCTTAACTTCAGGTTTTGATTCCCGTTTTAATTTTCTTTAAATTTAGTAACTTTAGTTCTTGATTCAGATTTTGTTCCCCAATTTTCTCAATCCAAGTTTAGAAGCACGGAAGCAACTTCTCTCTCCATTTTGGAATCAGTCTATCGCAATCCAATTTTTGACAAAGCACCTAACCCTTTCTACTCCTCCATTCGCCCTGGTCGGAATCAGACACTCTATCGCCATTGAATTATCAATGACAAGGCACCACCCCTTATATGTAAGAGCAAATGAATTGCCTTGCATTTGATCCTTCTTGCACCTATTAGGAAATTACCTTTTAATTTTATAGCTTCTTAACCCAATTCTTCACCCTCTTATTGAATTAGTAGTATGTTAATTTTTAAAATCTATATAATATCATATAATATCATTAAAATCCAAAAAATTCTGATTGTTTTTTGTCAATACTAAACCAAAAGGCAAGCAATATGAAAAGATATAATACTATGAACTATCTGTTTCCAAGATTGTTTAGAACAATCTAAAGAATGGAAAGTTTGTAATTCAGAATTTTTACACATAGAAAACAGTAAACAAACCGTAGGAGTTTGTTTATGAATATCCTTAAGATCTTTTAAAAGTTTAGTGGTGTGAAAGTGGATGTTGGGTTGGTCAGTGTACTTCTCCCAATTCTAGGCATTGTCTAGGAATTACTTTTCTGGCGTTTGGTTTTCTGCATTTTGAGCATCATATTTCTCCTCCCTCAAACTGCATCTTTAATTTTAAAATCTTATTTGTTAAATTGCTTTTTAATAGTGTTGATTTTGTCTATAATGCACTTTTATATTTTACATTTATTTCTATGCTCTTACTATTATGACATTTTTTACCACTTTGTCAAAAAAATTAAAAAAAAAGTGACCTGTTAAGCTGCTCTGTAAGGTCACAAACGTTAAAGAGCTGATTTTTCAAAATAGCTGTGATTATATGATGTTTTCACTATATGGATTTAGTTTGAATGATTGGAAATGTAAAAAGAGACTATTTCCTTGACAATGTATATCTTAAACATTGTTCCATATTTTGTCTGGCTTCAGTTTGTATGTCTTGAGACAATCTCTCTATTTTTTTCATTTTATTTATTTTATTTTTTATTGATATTTCATTCAACCAGATCACTAATTTGAGCCATATGGCACAACAAAACTGCTCCACACTTATGAGCAATTTGTCTAAACCTCACATAATCCCACTCCTGGGATAAGAAGTATCATACGACGAAAATCAAGAGCTCACTCTTCAAGCTTATTATAATATATAAACATATCCAGTTTGGGGATTGACCTTAAGGAAAACTCCCGAAGAAAATTGAAGCCCCTGAAACCTTCTCTCATTCTGGAGATAGTACCCATGACCTGTGTTTCCGCCAGAAGGTGTATCAAAACTTATTTTGACCACAATCTTGGGTAAACACACAACTCAAAGTGGTTTTTGCTAAATACATGGACTCAACGGGATTATAAAACTTTAAAAAGAAAATCTGATTTATATGGATGTCATTCTTCATATGCATATACATATTAACACCAATTATATTCTACTATAAATTCATCACTATTTTTAACATCAACAGGTTAAATAAAAAGTGATTTCATCTCTACTTTGATGCCAGCTATGTTGTTAAAAAGGTCATTTCATCACTATTTAAATTTAAATTTTGTGTTTTTATCTATAAAAATCTGAGAATTTGCACATATGATCAATGTAAGAAAATTGAGGCATTGCTATTTTCTTTTCTGTGGCATATGAGGCTTTTCAAACAGCTCATGTGTTGTTCCTGGGAGATAAGCTTTTTAGATCAAAACTAAGAAGAATAGTTCATAAAGCTAATTATAAAAGTGAACGTTTGCAATCTACTTTTCACTCAATAAAGCTTCGTCATCATACATCTTATATACTACCTCCGTCCCTTAAAACTTTTCCAAAGTTGATCGGTACGGAGAATAATAAAGTAAAAACTGTGTGGTTGAGGTTAACATTTTTCCAGATTGTATATTCTCTTCTAATTGATATTCCATTAATTAAGTTTATGACAGCAGTATAGTTTCACCTGTTTTATTCCCCTAAGAGTTTCTATACAACCAGTATCATATGCATTTTTTAATTGTGCTTCAGGATGGGATCCATTTTAACCTTAAAGAGCATGCTATTGTTGATTTCAATGTTTCTGTAGAACTTCATATTTGATAACTATTGAGTTTTAGCATAGTTATTAAGTTTCCTGATGATTTGCCAACACATGGGAAGATTAACCCACGATGGTAAATGAATCCAAATGAGACATATTGTCAATTGGTTCCCATAACCATTTTGGATATCTTGGAAGTGGAATGAACTCTCAGTCTGGTCAGTCAATGTGATTTTAAAGACACCAGGGCGGATCCTAAATGATTGAAGTTTATAATGTGGAAATATATATTGAAGGAAAGTTGAATCTTTTCACTTTTGGCTTAGTTCTTAAATATCATACTTTTGGATTTGGATATGATATTTCAACTAGGAGCAAACAGGCCGGTCTAAGGGAAATGTGATGAAAAGTATGATATGTGAAGAATATTCTAAGTTCCAAAAGATAGCTTGAATTTTGTGCTAAATGAACTTCTCAGTTTTGTGGAGTCCTCAATTTGGTTGTGATAAATTTCTTCAATTACAGTGAAGAAATATGATAAACATTATGACCCCGTTTTATAGCACTAAAATCGGCGGTTTTGGCTAATTCTGCTGAAATTTATGAACTTCCGGTTGAAGTGGCTGCATTGGCCGATTATACTGATTTAAGAAAAAATTATTTATAAAATATATTTTATTAACAAAATAAAGAAAAAATTATATGTAAAAATAGCTAAAATAGTCATCTACAGTAACTTCAGCCAATACAGCCAGAAAAGTAACTCCAACCTTACGTTTTCTGCTTATCACACAATCAGCGCGCGAAAGCAAAAATTACGTGTTTGGTTAAAAAATTGGCTGATAAGGCTGATAAGCCGGAAAACAGTGTTGTCAAACGGCCACTATGTCATATGGTAAGAACAAACCTACTAATGTGATAACCAGCTTTTTACCTATTTCTTTTTGTTCTTTTTGCAATGTTCTATAGCGTCTACATCTTGAGTTTCTTAAATGTTTGTGGAAGCAATCACACTTCTTTTTTTCACCCCAGGGGGTGTTTGGGAGGCTGGGGTAAACTGGGACTTCACACTTATACTTCAATAGGATTAATTGGAAGAGGAAATGAAATACTTTGATGATCTGACAGTTAATTTGCCATTGGATCAGTTAATTAGTAAACCTCTGGATGCAAGTGATGCTTGGATGTTTTAACAAAACACAATTCTTGGATGTGTTACAATTAAAGACCACTACTCATTTATTCTTTTGGTATGGTCATGATCTTTGAGCTCTTTATTTGGCCATTACATTTATTTTTATCCTATTTGCATAGCATTTAATTTCAACAAATGTTAAAACTAATACTACGTATTTTTATTCAACATATTTATAACAAATGCTATACTTCATGGCATTTTTTTTTATATATGATCACATATAATTTTTTGTTCACTTTTCATCGTTTCATTTAGATTCTTTTGACTTCATATCTAATGTCATTTTGACTCGAAGGTGATGATGTGTTTTGATATATTATTTGGGGCACATAAAACGGAGGGAAGCTAAAAAGTCCACGGGTGGAATAAGATGGTGTTTTTCTATCTTAACTTGACTTTTGTAGTTTTGTAATTTGGAATAGATATCCATTTAATATGTCATGCAATTAATTATGTAGCGATTATGGTATACCTTTTCATGGTATTATTATTCTAACTTATTTATATCTTAAGCTTTGATATCCAGTATTGACAATTACACTCATACACAAATACACACTCCATATGTGTGTATTTACAAGTCATTTACACACTCCATATGTGTGTATTTACAAGTCATTTACATCCATTTTTAATTTCCCAAATATATTGTAGTAGTATTTGAGTTTCTAATGAGTCAAATATTTATTAATGAAAACATATCTAACAAGCAATAGTACTCAAACTTCGTTGTCTAATTGATTTACTCAATACAACCCATGCAACACATGTAGGGGTGGACTGGGACGGGTAGGCCTGACTCGAAACCTGGCCCGGCCCGTTATTGTGAAGGACCGACCCGGCCAGGTTGATCAAGACCTGGACCAAGCCCTGCACCCGACCCATGTGAAGAAGGATGAGCTACGGAATTCGTGTTTGGTGGACTGACTAGGTCGGGATTGGTCTGGGCCTAACAGCCACAAATTCAAAAAAAAATTGGGTTTCAATAGTTGGGCCGACCCGACCCAGTTCCAGACTGAAGCCTGACCGAGTAGGCCGACTTGATCCGGTACCTGGTACATACCTGTACCCGGAGCCCGCCCAATCTTGGCCCAAAGCCCGGCCCGGATCCGACCCAGTCCACCCCGAAACACATGTGTGGTTGTGTGCTGCAATGACAATGAAAAAGAGTAAAAAAATTTGGGAATTGCAGGTGTTTTCCTTCGACATTTAGTTATTACATATTTACATATATGAACATTATATGTTACAATTTCAAAGCCAATAGGTCCGTCTTAGGCTTGAAGTTCGTGATGTGACAACGAGTGAATTGAAATAAGAAAAAATTGCAAAAAATGATCCTTAAAAAAGAAGTCTTCAATAATTTGTAAAGTGTGCTTATTAACTCCTAATACTAACTTTAAAAAACTTCTAATACTACTTATTTGTTATAACTTATTTATTTATTTATTTATTTATTCATTCACTCACTCACTCACTCACTCACTCACTCACTCACTCACTCACTCACTCACTCACTCACTCACTCACTCACTCACTCACTCACTCACTCACTCACTCACTCACTCACTCACTCACTCACTCACTCACTCACTCACTCACTCACTCACTCACTCACTCACTCACTCACTCACTCACTCACTCACTCACTCACTCACTCACTCACTCACTCACTCACTCACTCACTCACTCACTCACTCACTCACTCACTCACTCACTCACTCACTCACTCACTCACTCACTCACTCACTCACTCACTCACTCACTCACTCACTCACTCACTCACTCACTCACTCACTCACTCACTCACTCACTCACTCACTCACTCACTCACTCACTCACTCACTCACTCACTCACTCACTCACTCACTCACTCACTCACTCACTCACTCACTCATTCATTCATTTTTTAATTCATTTACCTATTATCTATTTATTTATTTACTTATAGTTACTCTCATTCAAGTGAGTAACTATATGCTTCGATCGGCGGGGGGAGGGCTCCGTTTCTGATCTTGTGTCGTTTCTTCGGTTAGGCATTTTCGGCGAGGGGAGGGAAGCAAGGCCTTGTTCGTATTTGTTCAGAATTGTTGGTGGCTGGTCGGTTTTTGTTTGAACGAAGGAAGGAAGATGGAGGAATTGCTAACAAATACAAGGATATGGCTATCGGGGATCAAGAGGAAGAACTGATTTTCGAGCAGGAGTCGCTTGAGGAGGAAGGAGGTTCGGTCGCGGGAGACGTTTTTCCGGTAGTGGGGACTGTGATTACAGATAGGGTGGTGAAATTTTCAGCTCTTCGATATCTCATGGCCTCAATCTGGAGGCCAGGTAAAGGTATTTCAATAAAGGAGATCAGCGAAAAGAGGTATATGTTTACTTTCTATCATCATATTGATATGGAACATGTACTTGAAGGTGGGCCGTGGATTTTTTAACAGAATTTGTTGATTCTTCGGGCATTGAAGCCTGGGGATGTTCCTCTCTGTGTACCTCTGAATGAGGCTGAGTTTTGGGTTCAGGTACACGACATTCCTTATGATTTTATGAATTTGAGTTGGGGGTTGCTAGGAGAGTTGGGAACTATATTGAAAAATTTATCAGTTGGGATAATAATCAGTTTGATAAAAAATGGAAGCCCTATATGAGGATTAGGGTTTGTTTGGATGTGGGGAAGCCTTTAAAGGTGGGAACCACTGTCAGGAAGGGCCAGGGTGAAGGGCACTGGGTTGACTTTAAGTATGAGAAGTTGTCTAGTTTTTGTTTTTCCTGTGGTGTTATAGGACATGCTGGCAGGTTTTGTCCCCTGGTTTACGAGAACGAATATGTGGATACCAATAGGCTGTATGGCGTCGGCCTACGTGCAGGAGGGGGGAAACACACATGATGAGGGAAAATAAATGGCTAGTTCTAGAAGGATAAAGGGAGGGAAGCAAGGCAGACCGAGAGGATGGTGGAAAAGCTGGTCCGAGCAGGAAAAGATGGGCTATTTCTTTAACTAGGAATACTAAGAGCCGCTCGGAGGATGAAGAAACAACGGTTGTGGATGACATTAGTGGAGAGTCAAAACGTAGAAGGACGTGGGAAGAGACCAGTGGCGAGAAAGACGAGGGGAGAGGATGGCCTTGGACGACCCAAAAAACGGGGAGGGTTCGGGTCGAGACGCCTCGAACCGCCGAGCTCTTTAAAAATGCTTTCAGATGGGAACGGGTGCTGGTGCTCGTTCATGTGCTTCAGGATGCAAGTTAATTTCCACGCTTTTACTATTTTTATTTTCATGTTATGCGATCAGACTTTGTTTTTTTCCTTTACTATCGTTTGGATTTGTCAAACTCTTATATTAGGTGAGGGTGATGAGGGTTTTGCTTTGACCACGTTTGGCTCGTGTAGACCCAATACAGAATCAGCGAATCATATTGCTCTATCTAGGGTGATTGGTTCTCCAACTGTTTCGAGGGTCGGTGGCTGGAAGTGTTTCCTCTATCATTTGTGTCCCTTGCTGAATGTTTTATTATCAATATAAGCCTCCCTGTTACAAAAAAAAATATTATTTTTATTCAAAGCATAGAAGAGGAAATGTTTTTATTCGGCAAGATGAGGAAGAATTTATACGAAGCAAAGAAATTAATAAAACAAAGTCATCTTTGAGGAAAAGATATGAAGGAAAACAAAGAGACCCAAGAATCTAAATTAATTGAAATTAAAATAGACACCCAAGAATCTAAATTGAATTCTTTGATGTAAATATAGGAGATGAATTTGCAAGGGATATGAAATCCATTCACGCTTTAGAGCCTTCATCGAAACAAATCTAGGAGACCAGCTAAGGAGATGTGAATTCACTATGAATGGCTATCTGCGATGAAGACATGAACGAAGCACCTGGACGCGGGGCGGATCTGGCTATAGGCTAGGCAGGGCCTAGGCCCAACCTCAAAAAAAATAAAATTACTAGTATATATAAGTATTATATGATATATATTGTTGTTAAGTAATGATATAATTACAAAAGAAGTCAATATGTATATAACTACCGTGTTAGCAAGGTGGAAGCAGTCCATCGGGTACAGCCTTGTTCACTTGACGTCCTGAGTTCCAAGCTCAAGTTGAGCATATAATTGTTTGACTTTTTAGCTTAGGGTGTAAAATTTTCAGTTTTTTCCCTTCTAAAATCTTTTTGTCCCACACCTGAAGCTCATGTTTGAAGAATTCTTTTTGAAACATATACTACGTTTTTGGGCTAGATAACAATATTGCGAACGTTTTTGGGATTTTGAATATTAGCCTAAAAACGTATGTGTTTGAGGTGCTTTTTGTATTCAACAAAATTCCTATTACTGTTATATTTATTTAATTATTTTTTTCTTTGACATTTAAGCTGCAACAACTTTTATTTTATATTTGAAAATAAATTTGTTAAATAACATACTATCCATCCGGCCGTTCCATTTTATCTGTCTTACTCTCCTTTTTATTTTGTCTCAAAATAAGTGTCTTCTTCCTTTTTTGTAAAGAAATATGTGGCCTACATCATTTCACTTTATTATACTCAAATCTCAACAACAATTTTTACTTTTTCAACTATTTCATTAATAATCATGCCAAGTCAAACTATTTTTTTTTGCAATATACGTTATTTAATTAAGGATGTTTTTACTTGGACTGTAATTTGTCCCAGCCCAGATCAGACCAGACCAAACCATATCAGACAAGAGCAGACGAGACTTGGATAGTTATAAAAATACAAAGAAACCAGACCAGACCAGTTCAGACCATACCAGACCAGGCTAGCAAATTACAATCCAAGTAAAAACATCCTAGATTTTGGCCCCACCTGAATGGCAACGCTAGATCCGCCCCTGGCTGGACGGCCATGTATCGGCGACGAAAACAGGAACGAAGCACCTGGACGGCCATCTGTGGCGGCAGGCCTAGACGACCATCTGCGATGGCAAGTCTGGAGGGCCATCTGTGAACTGACGAAGCATGGAAGAGTGAGTAATGAAGCAGATGCAGAATAAATAAAGGAGTAATTACAAAAGGCAGGGGAGGTTTTGTAATTTTTTAACACAAACTGGTACCGTTTTGATATCGGTACACCTTGAGGATGATGGGCTGATCCCACGTTATAATTTGCCCTCAAAAGGAGGGTGAACATCACCCCCCACTCCACATGAGTGTCATGCTATAAGGCAATTTGTGATTATTTGGCAATTGTTTTAACTTCTTCCTTTTTTACTCTAATTTTTTTGGACGTTTTGACTATAAGTTCTTTAAAAATATATCAATTTTTTTTAGTTTTTATGATTTTTTATATAGTATCAATATTGCGTGTGAAAAAAGTTCTAGGTAAAATAGATACTTAGAAAGATATTACTATGTTTTTTTTAATTTTATAATAATACCATTGGAAAAATCATACTCCGTAAAAATTGTTAAATCTGATATAAGGAGTATATTTTTTACTAAAATTGAAGCACAAATAAATAAACGTTTTAACAATTTTTAAATAAAAAATGAAATGTATTGCAACAATTGACGTATGAAGGTGATTGTTCATCTGATACTCTATTATTTTCGGGATCCAATCGGGTCGCGCCTTAAAAACAGAAGAAAATCGTTTTTAGCAAATAGAGCGCGTTAAAACAAAAAACAATAAAAGTGCGGTGAGCGTGGATCGAACACGCGACCTTCAGATCTTCAGTCTGACGCTCTCCCAACTGAGCTATCCCCGCTACTTGTTATGCTGCTGCGACCGTTGTTTATATTCTACTACGTATAAAATATACCCCCTATTAGCATAGCACGAGATTTATTTATTTTCTTGAAAAGAGCATAGCGTGAGATTGAATATCGAATTTTACTCTGTTGAAAATCAAGTTAAATAAGCGCTGATTTGAGTTGGGGGTTCCGATTGGATTGTAGGTTTTAGCTTCAAGATTTGTTTATGCTGAAAGTTTTACTCTTTACTAGATGAGTAGATGATAACATTTCATTGAGTACATTTTGCAGCCATAAGCCCATTACTCCATCGCCCATCCCATAAGCAATACGTAGTGTTATATGTTTAAAATTCTTTCAAGTAGAACAAATTAGGGAAAATTCCTGAATATAAGTATAAAAAACGTTTTCATATTTCAAAATATGATTGTCATGTTTTTTATTCCATAAATAAGTGTAATTATCGTCAAATTTGAAAATTATTATCATGTCTCAAATCTAGTAATGTCAAAATATGACAGTAATTACTACGTAGTATTAATTAAACGATACAAAAACATGTCAGTCATAATTCATAAACGATTTTAGTTCTATTTAGAAATTTAGTGGGCAATTTCTTGAAAAATATTGGTCTAGTGTAATTTAAGAAAACTAAAGAAAGAAACAAATATTCCCCGTTCCGCAAAATAGTTACCGATCTCCTTTTTGGGCCATCCAAAAAATAGTTCATATTTCTCTTTTTTGGAAAGTTTTTTGTGAGTGACATTCATTTACCTTTTTTTACTAAACCACAACCATACATTTTTCATTTTATTCTCACTTTCTTAAACTCCGATCCAAGTCAATGCAAGAACTATTTTATGGGAGAACTAACAAACAATAAGAGGCCGGGGTCGTGTTCCCATTGTCAATATTAAGATGCATTTCTATGTCAACTTTATCATAATTCATAACCTCACCGTAACATAATAGAGCAAAGTCAACCTCAAATGCTTCCATCTTTGATTAAATAAGAAGGCCTTGTTTGGCAATCGGCTGTTAATTGTTAGCTGTTAGCTGGTTACGACAGCTGATTGACAATAGCTGGTTGTGTCAGCTGTTTTAGTTGGCTGATTATGTTAGCTTGTTGTCAGCAAATGTTTGGTAAAATAGCTGTTTAAGAATAGCTGTGTGATTGTAAAAAGACATAAAAGGACATTTGTATTTATATTTTACCTATTTCTTATAAAAATAATATTACCTACGTTTACTTACAAAGTATAACTTATTCATATTTTATAATAATAATAATAATAATAATAATAATAATACGTACGGAGTAATAGATAAGAAACGTAATTAGTATCGAAATATTTGCAATCCATTTTCAATCTGTGATTAGCATTTAGCATGCATAGAAAATGTTACTATGCATATGAAACGTAATTAGTATGGAAACATTTTCAATCCATTTACTATTGCTAAAGAAGCTATAGGTAGATTTCTTGTGTTTTACATATCTCATACAGTACCTAAACTGGATATATAAAATAAAACTTTTCTAACTCTTTTTTATTGGTAAGATGTAGTATTAATTAAGGAGTAACTATTAATTACTAGTATAATTTTTTGTTATGTTATTATTTGTTTTGTAAATATAGAAATATTATTTATTCACATTCATTTATTTTAGTAGTCAATAAGTAAAGTAAAATAAAAAAATAAAAAAATAAAAAGTCAACCTAAAAAGTACCAAGAAAAGAATATACAAAATATTTCCTACTACATACGTATTAGAGACCTACTAGTAGGAGGAGAAGATTGTAAAAATGTTAACCAGCCAACCACAAACGCTGCTATGTATGGCGTTTTCAACAATCTAATTTTTTGGCTGGTTGGAATGAAGAAGCTAATTCAACAAGCTATTCACCAAACATATTATTTGGCTTATTAATTAGTCAAAGCATCTAAATTTGGTCAAACCAGCCAAAAAATGGCTGATAAGCCATTTACCAAACATGGCCGAAGTGTTCACTATGAGAGATAAAAGTGGAAAACTAATTAAAGTACGTTGTCTATGCACTAGCTTGTGATGAGTCATTGTTGTAAACATGTTAGTTGGTCTTGGAATCTTTAGACCTAGCAAGCATTTAATTCATCTCTCCTCACTCTAAGTAGACCTCTAACAATGGTTTGTACTTTGGATATTACTCCCTGAGACCCCCATTTTCATGTCTATTACTTTGTGTTTTGAATTGTCTCCAAAATAAACGTTTTATTTCATCTTTTGGTAAAAATATATGATTCATTGTATAGCATTTATTCTACTCAAACCTTAATCACATTTTTTTACTTTTTAATCATTTTACTAATAGGTGCGAATATATGATTCATAATATATCATTTATTCTAATCAAACATTAATCACATTTTTTACTTTTGAATCATTTTGCTAGTATATAGTTGCGCAGCCAATAAGCCTCAAAATTCCATCCGTCATTTATTCTTAGGGGAAAGTTCCCGAAATAGGACTAAAACAGTTTGAAAATTCCAAAATAGGACTGCCATGTTTTTTATTCCCAAAATAGGAGTAATTACTGCCAAGTTTGGAAAATACTGTCATGTTTGAAGTCTGGTACTACCAAAATGTGACAGTAATCAGTCCTATTTTGGGAATAAAACATGTCAGCCCTATTTTGAAATTTTCAAACCGTTTAGTCCTATTTCGGGTAATATCCCTTATTGTTATATATTTGAGTTGTTATCTTATTCTACCTTGGGGCTTTTAATTGGGTCATTTGCTAGTTAAGTAATTAGGCTCGGATAATT